GGGGGCTAGATGGAGAGGGGGCATGATGGTTGGGGGCTAGATGGAGAGGGGGCATGATGGTTGGGGGCTAGATGGAGAGGGGGCTAGATGGAGAGGGGGCTAGATGGAGAGGGGGCATGACGGTTGGGGGCTAGAAGGAGAGGGGGATAAATGAAAACTCTTAGTGTCAACTGCACCTTCAGTTAATGTTACACAATTAGTTTTTATTAATTTATTATTTGTAATTTTCTCTTCAAGATGGTCTGAGGTTGTTCTATTTGTGCATTGGTCTCTATCTTTATGGTGACTTAGCCATTTATGCTGCCGCAGTGCCCAAGTCTCTGACCTTAGTTTCTTGGTATGTACATTCAAGTAATGATAGTTAATAATGATTATTAATATAGTGCACATTCAACATATCGTTTTGATATGTAAGTCTTTGAATCTCATTTATCTGCTCCAAATGGTGGCCAAACACTGACCACCATGTGCTGTCAGCCAGAAAGAATTCTAAAGTGAAATTCATGGGCTGACAAGGGAATTCCATGTTGAATTTCATGAGAAAACCCATATCACATGAATCTTGAGTCCAATAAAATATTTATCAGCAAATAAACAAAGGAATGATTCTCAAGAGAATTACTACTGGGAATACTTTTTTACATGTCAATGAACCACTGATATGAATAAGATATGTAAATAATATTGCATTAGCCGAATTGGTCTATATTTTATAGCTGTAGATCTGATATTGTTGACTAGACAAGTGTTTTTCTTTATTTCTTTAGCATAATGCCTCATTCTGATTCACACCAAACAATGAACCAGTCCCATGTAGGTAACATCTCTAAATCCAATAAAACTGATGATGAGTGCTGGGGTCAGATTACTAAAGGCAATGTCTATAGGATATATTTGGTGAGATCTGTAGAATTACTAATAGTTTCAAGATAATTTGATAAATGTGCCTGTCTGTGCGTGTCTGCTGATATGTCTAGCTGCCTGTGGATTGCTTGTTTGCTTTCATTCTCTGATGGTTGTCTGTCATTGGGTCTTTTGCTTTCCAGCTTCTCCATCTGTCTGTCATTTGTTTGCTCACTTGCTTCTGTGTCTTTCATTCAGTCAGCGTTTTCTTGCTTGCATTTGTGTCTGTTAGTCGGTCAACGGCATTTACTCACTTGCTTCTGTGTCTCTCTGTCTGTCGATGTTTGCTGCTTGTTTCTCTGTCTGTCTGTCGTTTGTTAGCTTGCTTTTGTATCTGTCAGTCGGTCGATATTTGCTCACTTGCTTCTCTGTCTATCAGTCGTTCGGCGTTTGCTTGCTTGCTGCTGTGTCTGTCAGTCAGTCTTTCTGCTTACATTTCTTTTATGTTTACTTTACTAGCAGTTGTATTTGCTGTAGACCTGTCTTACCACTATCATTTGTTTGTTTCCAGTTGATCTTCACCGTCACTCTTGGCCCATTTACGTTCTTTAACCTACAAAAAACCAAGTACCTTCAGATAATAACAACATTCATGAGGTGGTTAGGTAAGCGGGGAAATCTGTTCACGATTACATATGAATACTGAGTTCGTATACCTTGCAGTGTTCGACTTCCATATTACATTACGGCATGTCGTACCGTGTACGTGCTGTAAGTAAATACTAGACGTTTCTCACTGATCCGATAACCATTCTTATGGGAAGCCATTTAAATGTTGCGGCATGTCGTACCGTGTACGTGCT